CATGTGTCGGTAATTTGGTGTTTGAAGTACCCGGAAGTATTGACCCAAAGGTCCTCGAATTTTACTGAGATCCATATTTTCAAAGATTGAAAAGTGGACTAATTCTTTGCTGAAATCTTTTTCTTCAACATGGAATTGTGAAACAAAATCTTTTTTTACTTCCTGTCAAATATTAAACATTTGTGAGGGAAATAAATGATTCAAAAGAAATCTATTTGAAGAGAAACTATCTCAAGTGAAATTTGTTTCGAGGGAAACTGTCTCTAAAGAGACAAAACTTTGTTTCAAGAGAAACTGTCTCAAGAGAGACAAAACTTGTTTCAAGAGAAAATGTCTCAAGGGAGACAAAACTTGTTTCAAGGGAAACGGTTTCAAGAGAGACAAAATTCGTTTCAAGGGAAACGTTTTCAAAGTTTATGTTTCAAGAGAAACTGTCTCAAGGGAGACAAAATTTGTTTCAAAAGAAATTGACTCATGCTTTTGTTTTGAGAGAAAATGTCTCAAAAGAGACAAAACTTATTTTGAGTAAAAATTGTCTCAAGAAAGACAAAATTTATTTCAAGGGAAACAATCTCAAAGATTGGTGTTTCAAGGGAAACTGTCTCAAGAGAGACAAAACATATTCAAAGATTTTATGTTTCAAGAGAAACTGTCTCAAGAGAGATAAAATCTTCTGTTTCGAGGGAAACTATCTCAAGCGAGATAAAATCTTCTATTTCGAGGGAAACTATCTCAAGCGAGATAAAATCTTCTATTTCGAGGGAAACTATCTCAAGCGAGATAAAACCTTCTGTTTCGAGGGAAACTATCTCAAGCGAGACAAAACCTTCTGTTTCGAGGGAAACTATCTCAAGCGAGACAAAATCTTCTATTTCAAGGGAAACTATATCAAGCGAGATAAAATCTTCTTTAAAATAATCTTGAGTGAAATGAAATGTCTTCTTTTAAGTAAAAAATGTCTCAAGTGAGACAAATCTTGTTTTAAGAAAAACAATCTTGAGTGAAATAAATCTTCTTGTTTCGAGTAAATACTGTCTCAAGCGAGACAAAGTCTGTTCTAAGAAAAAAACAATCTCAAGTGAGATAAATCCTCTGTATTAAATGAGACTGTCTCAAGCGAGACAAAATTTATATTGGAAATGTTGAATCTAAAGATGATTGTTCCCTCTTGTTGAGGACGTCTTGTTGTCTTTTAATCTCATCTTCTCCTAAAAGATCTGTAAAATGTATCTAGATGTAACTATCCTAATGATGGATGTTTGATGCAAAGATGCAAATTCATGTATGCATGTTCTTCAGTGAAAAGGTGCTCAAGCAAATCTTGATTCTCTTATTGATCTGTTCGTCTTCATTCTTCTCTCACACCAGGTGTACCATCGCATTTCTTTACAAACATATGCTTTCTTGGCTCCCTAACATTCAAATTCTTTGCCCCAATTTCTTATTCTGAGCTTTTAGGTCTGAGGGACCTCTGTTAATTTCTAGGCTAAACTCTCCAGAGAGATTGTCCTGTTTGAAAATGTTTTTCTTCTTTCTTTTATTTTAGAAATGTGAAAAATATTGAATAAAATTCAAAAATGTTATCATTTTCTTCTGGCTCACAATCAAAACAAATTGTAAAACAAGAGTTCATTGAATATCAAATAAATTGAATTTTCTTTTAATCCTTCAAAAATTATATACATTTGAAAAGGGTAAAGATTAATGCTGATAAAAGGCTTAGGCTGACTGGGAAGGTTAAGTGTTTCAAGTTAATCTGGGGAGGTAATGGGGTTCAGGTTGGCTTTTTGCGTCCTCAATTTTGGTGTTCATTGACCTGATGAAGCAGTCGTCATGCTCCTCTTCTGGAAATATTTACTGGCTCTCGATCCTCGTGTGTGCTTTTGGATTGTTCAATGTTTTATCAAGAGATGTATAAGATCGTCCTTCTGTGCAGTGGTTAACAATCTTCGTATTCGAGCTGCCTTTTCAGGTTTTCAACTCGAATTCTCCTTTGGTTTCTAGACGTCATCTAAAATTTTACGTCTTGAACCCTCATTTTATTATTTTTATTTATCATGCATTAAAAATTTTAGAAAACTATTTTTGCAAATAAAATTAACCCTGAGGGGCGGAATGAAATCTGAAGATAATCTCTCCACTTAGAAATCCATGTATGATTAGAAGGGACTTTTCAGGCACATAATGTAGGCTAGGGCTCATGGTTATGAAAGAAATGGATAAACATGCCCAAATAAGTGTTTAAGGGTTATTGAACCAAGGATCAATTCGTACTGATGTCTTCAATCTTGTCTTGCTCGACTTGAATCTGCTCGTACGCCTTTTATTCTCTTCTTATTTTCCCTTGGTGTTTCATGATCTTCTGGCGAATTGATTCTATATCTTTGAACCGCCCGTCTTGGAGTGATTGATCGATTTTCTTTCTTCTTTCTTTCGTCTCTCTTTTTTTTTTCTTTTTTTCTTTTTTCATTTCTTTTTTTTTTGCTTTTTTTCTATTTTTATGTCTTTTTTTGTTATATCTTTTCTTTTTTTCTCTATGTCGTCAACACGATTTGATCTTCAAATGCTTCGTATTTGGTCTACCTCACGATATCTTGTTATTTCTCACTTTATATTATCATTGCTTCTGCAGCGAAATCTGGATCAATGATCTTTACTCATGTGAGCATATGTCCTTTACCTTTTCCCCCCAGTGTGGAGGGTGATCCTTGGTTAGGGTTGGATCAGAAGAAAAAATATTATAGGCTCAAAATGGGACAACAATGGATATATATATATATATATATATAAAAGGATAAATGAAACAAAGCCGTTCATCATCTCATACACGGAAGACTTTGTAAAAGAGGTATCCCCAGGGGGACGAGTATTCAGGATTAACCTTATTTACATGAAAACAATGTAATTAATGCATGATAAAATTATTTCAATGATTTCATTTATTTCTTCTTCTTCTATTTGCCCCCAGTATGCCCCAATTATTCAAATTCTCTTGCAACAACGTGATCTGCAACACTTCATCTTGTCTTTCTTGCAGGAAATGTCCTCTTCATGCCCCCAGGATTTATTGAGGTTGGGAAATGAATGTTGGTTCCGTGTCTAGGAAGGGAAATGTATGACTTTAAAGTCATAATTCTGAAAAATGTAATTTTATGGAAAGGTTATTTCTGTCTAGGAAGGGGTATGGAAGGTCTAATCTTGCCCTTTGTCAAAGATATATAATTAATGAAGTAGTAAAAGAACCTTTAATCCATTAGATATTCAAAGAATTACAAGATTAAAACTTGATTTATTGCTCATAACCTTAGAAAACGGCATAAGCCCAATTAACAAAATGTATACTAAGGGAAGAACAAAAACACGTTTAAACAGGACAAGGCTAGTGCAACGGTTGGTGGAAGAATTTCTTTGTAACTGGCCCCAGAATGTCTCATTACGAGTTAAAGGTCAATATCCCTGGGTCAAACAAAATCTGGGCCTTTCTTCTTCGTGCCTCACGGATCTCGATGATACCTCAAACTTCATACGAGGCTAACATTACATTCATAACTCTCAATCCTTTTTGGGTACGGATGGGGTGACTTCATCTCACCTCAAAACTTTTATTCACAAGATTCTCGCCGAGTTACCTTCGGGATTCGTGATTAATGTATGTCGATATGCAATATATAACATGTAATGTAAAATGTGTATATACTAATGCAAAGATGAAAAGATGCACATGCAAATGCAAAATGGGTGTGCAAAATGCGAGATGTAAATGCAACCCGATATTGATTCCAAAATAACTTAGTTTACACAAAAAGTACTCAACAACACACAATGTCTAAGCACTTAGGCAAATAGAGTACATCAATATGGAAACTTAAACGTAGAATCTTGCCCTATTTGCTAATCTCTCGAGCTCTATCATCAATTTCATGATTCACCATTCTTCCTCTGGATCACGCAAACTCTTAAGGTTTTCGCTTCTTCAGATAATTCGTAGACTTGACGAGCAACACCATTGGCCTGATTCACTGCTTTCTCTATTACTTCATGTTGTCTTTGAATAGTATCTTGAGTCTACAGTAGCGCAGTTCTAAGTTCTGGATTAGTAAATGGTTGCTCTCCTCTGACTGTTGAATTCACTAATGACATCTCTGTACTGTAACTTCTAGCTCAAAAATCTTGGCTTTTAAGGCCTCACTTTCATGTTTGGCTATCTATCGTGCGGATGAGTGGATCAACAATACTCCTTCTAGCTCTGCTATCATCTTCTTTAACATTTTATTTTCTTCTTGAAGACGGAACCCATTGATGTTGTAAGGATTCTGAAAATTCTCATCCAAACTAAGCAATTGTGCTTCGAGCTGCTCAATCTGTGCTCGCCTCTACACCAATTCTTAGTTAGCCTTTGCACCAATTCTTAGTTAGCCTCATCTTTTTACTCTCTCAATCTCTGAGCGTCATACAGGGCTCGGATAATTACCTTTTCTGGAAAAATGGATTCTTCGGTAGTTACAAGTCTGTCTCTGAACTGTGTCTGCCCGTACTCGGACCAGGTCTTAACACTGATTGCATTCTCATCCCATCGGAAGACATTGATGCCTTAAGCTCTTTTTATAATAACTAAGTAATCTGGGAATCAATACCGTTTATGAAATGATGTGATATGACAATGATACATGCAAAAATGCAATAATAGCATACAAAAGAAAATCAATATTAGTAGAAACAAGACAACAAGAATTAAGTTAGTTGAAAAGATTAGTCCCAAAATGTAATCTTAGCAAAAATAAATAAATATGACTCAAAGTTGAGACTGAAGAATAAAGCATACAAAGAAAATTAATAATCCTAACCGCATGCGTTCTAGTTCTCCTAGGCTATCCACATGGCTCTAGCGGGGTAGGCTTACTAAATTCTCTATATGAGGATGGTTTCTAACAAAGGGTTCCCAAACCATTTTTACAACCTGCTAAGGTTGCCCCCGGTTCTGGCCCATTATAGACTTGTGAATCAAGTTCGGATCAGGGGATCACACCACTAAAAGCGTACCTCGGAACTGATATCCTGATAGGCAACTTAGGGTGCTTTCCAGAGATACTTTGTCAGACCCACACAAGGAAGCCCAATGCTCCTCGTGAGGTGTGACGTTTCTCCCTACTTATGTAAACTGGGATTGAGCTCGGGTTTAGAGCTATGATATGCAACAAACCTAAATACTTCACAGAAGTGTAAGCATTAACCGGAGAGAAATCTGTTTTTTCCTTTTTGAAATAATATAATGAACCATAAATTAAATAAGATCGAACTCATAATTTCCAAATAATAAATATAGGGTAACCAACTCGTGGCTCGACTCTCAATTTGTTTAAAAAATAAAAGTCCCCAGCGGAGTCGCCAAGCTGTTGACACCGTTTTTCGCCCGGGCGGGGAAAGACTGAAACCGACTCGGGGTTTTTCTCTTTGAAAATCATTTAAAATGTGAGGAGTCGCCACCAATCATTTTAGGTGAGATTGGAACACCGTAAAAACCATGTGATTTTAATAAAACGTTTTATTTTAATAAAATATCAAGTTTTGAGGTCTGCGAAAATCTAAAAATCAGGTTCGGGAGTCAGTTACGCGTGGGGAAGGATTAGCACCCCCACAAGCGCCCAAAAATTGGTACCTAGTTGATTATCCTATATTTAAAATCGGAAATTTTGAGTTCGATCTTTATTTATTTTAAAAATCATTAATGATGCAGAGTTTGAAAAGGATATTTGTTTATCGAGACCGATAGTATTCGCCCCCGAGCGTAAATGCGGGAGATCAACTATTGTGTCTAATAACCGAACATTGCCTCATTTTTAGAAAACATGATGTGGTTTTGAAAAGGATGTCGACTTATTTAGGGAATTAACAATAGTCACCCCCTGAGCACGATCGCGGGAGATATATTATTACTTCCTTAATAAGTGAACAGTGCCTTAGATTTATAAAAATAATGCGATCAAGCAAAATTTTATTTATCCTAATTATACTAAAAATAAATTAAGGCTTTTTCTAACTTACAGAGACAAATTATGAAAATTAAAGAATCTAAGGGCTTAAATCTAAAATGTAGGCTCTAATATTAATCATATTTAATTTTAATTAATTATTGAATCGAATAACTAAGATGGTCCCTCGAACGTTTACGCGAGGGCCGACTCAAATTATCCCCTAAATTAAAAGAATACTTTGAAATCTAAGCTAAAATGGAAGCTCTATTTAACCTATTTAATTATGTCAATATTTAAAGTCTAATTGAAGTTTAGGAACTAAAAGCGTCAAGGAACTAAAATACCGAGCTCTAAAAAGATTTAAAAATCTAAGGACCAAAATTGAATGTTTTTAAAGTTAAGGGACTAACCTAATTATTAAACTAAAATTTTTAGAAACTATTAATCATTAATTAAATTTAATCGAACAATTGATTCGAGTATTCGAGTGTATAATGCGAAAACTCAACTCGAATTGCCCCCTAATTAAACTATAGTGTCATCCTAATTTCTAATTTTATTCCTATATTAATCTAAAAAAATAAATTTAGAATTAAAAATTATGAAACAAAAAATAAAATAAAAATAAACTTAATTAAAATAATTAAAACAAAAGATAATAAAAACATTAAAAATATAAAATAAACATAAACATAAAATAAAGAACTAATTGTATAAATATAAAATAATAATGACTAAAATACAAGGAAATAAAGTTAGTAATTAGATAAGAAATAAAAAGTGACCAAAATGCAAAACTTAAAATAATAGTAGCTAAATCAGAAATTAATAGTGATGAAATTAAAATAAAACAACACCAGTATGCATAATCAGAATAAAATAAAAAAGAATGACCATTGTATAAACATGTTGAAGCTGAGGATTTATACGTGATTTACCCATTAATATATGTCAACCAACCAAAAAAACCTTAGAATATGGGGACCTAATGCTTAATTAGACCAAAAATCATAAATGTTTAATAATTCTCCCCCTGTTTTCGTTTCTGCTCGAGAAAGCAAGACCAAACAATTATTTTTTAGCTTCTCTCTTCCCTCAAAATTCACCATGGCCGAGAGACCCCAAGAGCTCAAAAGCCTCCATCGCCGGCCACCGCTAGACATGGCCAACAAGGCCAAACCTCTTCCCGAAACACCTTTTTTTTCAGGTATGAAATCGATTTTGTTCTATTTTATTTTTTTTTTATATTTTTTGCTGCAAATAGCTAGGATCGTTGGTATTAAAAAAATTCGGAAGGAAAAAAAAACTCTTGTTTTAGTTTTTTATTTAAGACATGTAAATATTTTTTAGAAAATCTTTGTAAATATATATATATTTTTAAAAATAGCAGCAATAAAGGTTACAATCGAACTAAAAAAGATTTTTTTTACAATACTTGCTTCGAATCTAAGCAGTGAAAAATACAAAAAAAACGTTCGAAATTAAAGAGAAAAAAAACCTTTAAATATTGCTCTGTTATTACTTTCGAAAATAGGGTATTACAGCTTTTTTTTAAGGATCTCCCATTCCCCCCTTTTCCTCATCCTCTTCTTTATAGCTAAAATTTACATATATAAAATAAGCAAAGTGGGGTGGTTGCAAATTTCTTGCGGGATTGTGGGGGGTTGGTGTTGAAATATATGATGGTGGGGACAGAGAATTGAAAAAATGGTGCTCACAACCTTCTTCTATAATAGATAAATGGTTGTCCCTTGTTCTCATATGTAATGGGGTAAGGGGAGGTAAGATAGTAGGCTGCCCCCAACACTAGGTTGAGAGCAGCTTCCGTGGGAGACCTCCAAATTATAAAATGCCCTCCATGAGACTCGATCCCACGACCTCAATGTTAAGAACCTTGTGCTCTACCAACTGAGATGCATAAATGGTTGTAAATTTAATGGATACAATGGAAGCTCTCCTTAATCCACGGACCATTGCATTACCAAATTTTCTCAATCATTATTGTTGAATCAATCGAATCAATAAAAACAATCAAGAAGATAATGAATTGATAAATAAAAATTTTAGTGAAAACTTAGGGAAAAAATAAGAAAATTAAACAAAATAATTTTCAATGGTTCAATTCAACTTCATTAATGAAGTCTACTTTCACTACCCTACATATCCACACTAAGGATTTTCACAAATTTGAAGCAACCTTTGAGGATAAGGTGTAACCTTACAAACTATTTCAAGAATTACTCCCTCAAATTCTTGAAACACTCTCTCAAAGAGAAAATTACAAATTACAAACATAGAAAAATCCATATGGAAAGTGTTTGGACAATTCTAGAATAAAAAGAAAATCTGATAAATGAATACAGATGTGGTACAAAAGTTTTCTTTAAAAGCAAAAGAAATTTTGAAGAATTTTAACTTTGGTTACATGTGATTGTTTTGGCTATATTTGTGTTCTCTTGTTTTCACATAAAACTTGGAATTTGTATTTTATACTCTCTCATTCAATTCTAACCGCTTGGATATTTGTGGGAGTTAATAGAGCTGTTGGATGGAATTTTCCCGCAATAAATGTTCCAAATACTTGGAGTATCGATACTCGAGTTTGGAGTATCATCACTACTTGCATTAATTACAAAAATATAGTCGTTTGGAAAGAGGGGTATTGATACTACTATTATAAGTAGTATCAATACTTGATGAGTATCGATATCAAAATTGCTTACTAAAATTTGTCATTTTTATAAACATAAGGGTAGTATTTGTACTATCATTTGAAGTATCAAAATTACTATTAAAAGCAGTATCAGTACTAAAATAGTATCAGTATCAAAATAGGTTACTGGAATTTACAAAACACAAGGGGTTTCAGTACTGCCATTAGTATTATCAATACTACTTTGTATTTTTAAAGCATTGGCATTGGTGGCATTGGTACTGCATTGATACCACATGATCAATATCAGTACTACTCTTGCAGTATCGTTATTATTATGCTTAAAAATATTTTTTGACTCGATTAAAGTTCGAAACACTTAAAAAATTGTTTCAAAATTATTTCAGTATATGACTCAATTTTTCAATAATGTAAGGAGTAAATGAAATTTTTGACTTTAAAAGAATTTATATATTCAAATGATTGAAATGAATATAATCTTAAAATTTTTCAAAAATATTAATTACTTTTGATATATAAAAAAATCAAAGTTTGTTTTAACAATTCCCTTTATTCTTCAATACTTTTTAACTAATTATTGATATTTGATTTATTAATCAATTAATTTAAATTAAATTTTATAAAGATTTATTATAAGAACAATCATCTCAATTATATTTGTTCTATTCATAATGTTAGAATTCAAACTCGTAATATTACTAAAAAGATCTAATATTTCATCTCATTAGACCAACTAATTATTAGTTGTTTTTCATTATTTTATTTTCCAAAATGTATGAAAATTTTAATTTAAATGTGCATAAAAGTAGTGTATATATAGTTATAAAATAACATGATTAGATTAAAAAATTCTTCACCTTTCTAATCAAATATAGTAGAAATATTATTTTAGACGTAATTTTTAATAGTATTGATTAATTATAAGATAACATGTGTTTAAATTTTTTAGGGTAAATTATACCAGTGACCACCTAATTATAATTTCTTTATATTTTAACCACCATTTTTAATTTTTGTCAATCATATCACCCACCTATTTAAATGCATTCAATCAGGTCACTTGTCGTTAACAGTTACCGGAAGTGTTGTAACACCCTAGACCAGTACGTTACACAGTCGACCGATGTAACATAGAATATCATATATACATCATATATAATATCACATCACCAAACAAACATGTAACATCACATAGAATTTTTGCATATTATATTTTTAATGGCCCATGTACACATGTGAGAACTATAGATATATGAGTCTATAGAGGTTGTGCACTAATGCTGCCACCACAGCTCGTATAAATGCACCAGAGTGTCATATAGAATTGCACCAAAGTGCCGCGTAGAAATGCACCGTAGTGCCATATAAGATGTCCCTAAGGACCACGTAGAAAATTCCTTAAGAATCGTATACATATGCCAAGGACCAAATATGTGTCTCAAAAGACCTAATACATGTTCCAAAGAATACATATATGTCCTGAAGGACCGCGTAGACCTTCGACTCTTGGTATGCCAACTATATCCCTAGCTCTCATGACACATATCATGGGCATTATCTTTTATATCATTTTTTCCATATTCATGTAAACAGATCACATATTCATATAAACTCATAGCTTCATTTACATATATATGTAATCACGTAGTTCATGTAAATTCTCATATCATTTCGTATTCATATATCTCATAACATATAACACTTCTCATGTGTTCCTATAAACATGTCATACATATCAGGCATGTTTACACAACTCATTTCTATATAACTTACATGAATCTATATTCTTTTTCATATACTCATATAATCATATAATATAATATTTCATATAATCTCATGTATCACATCACATAGATACATACTCAAGTACTCATAGTTACATATCACTTAAATTATTCATATTTACATAATTCATGGTCATATAACTTTTATCACCAAGTCACTTATCTTATATCTTATTCTCATATGTTCATATTTATCATATAACACATAAGATTTATTGCATATTTATATCACATTCTTACATCACTTATTCATAATATAATTTATATTGTATCATCTATCTTATTCTTTATTTCTTAGTATGCACTTACATTACATAACCTATATTATACTTATAAACATATATATATATATATATATATATATATATATATATATATATATATATATATTACTTCTATTATTTATTTTATATACAAATTAATCTATTTACTTAATTCAATTCCATATAACTCCTATAATCTTCTCATATCACTCCATAGCTTTTATCATACAACTAATGTATCATAATTTTATTTAAGCATATGAATCTTTCACATCTATCTTATCCTATATGTTCATATTATTACTTAATTGATCATACTACTATGTACTTACCCAACTCACCTTCTTATTATTTATGTAACCTTTTCCTTTTCTTACTTAGTTCATATCATTTCTCATAAACTCACTTTTACCCTATTCTTATATTATTACTTAAGTTATCTCATATCATGTATTCACGTAGTTATATTTCATTTCTATATATATCTCAAAGATATTATCTTTTATATTCATATAATTTATTATCATCTAATATGGTTTATATCATCATAACATAGCATATATTCACATCAACCATATAATACATATATACAATAACATGTCAACACATATAATTCATACACACATATACTTCTATTTATGAATTCATGCATTTTACTATTGGAAATAGACTTGTCGCAAGTCTTATTTCCATTTAACATCATATACTACTAATATGCACTCACCTTGACCTCACTAAGTTCCAATCCACTTTTATGCTTTCCTTTCTTCCGATCGAATCTTAACTTGATAGTCATCCTGGAACTTGTTCGTGCTCGATATCTACATAATCATGTACTGATACTTATCATTATCCAATTGATATACTTTAATATATCATTTCTTAGAATGAAAGAAATATTTATTCCATTTCCCATTGAAGTGCATCGATACATTCTACAGTGTATCGAAGCATCCTTTAACATGTGCATCAATGCACTACCCATGCATCGATACACCAATCACCTTCGATGTTTTTATTTTAAGGGGGTGCATCGATGCACTCCTTATGCATCGATGCACTAATTGCATTCGATGTTTCTTCTTTAAAGAGTGCATCGATACACATTGAATGTGCATCGATACACCTTGCCCAGAATTACATTTTAAGAACAAAAATGTCTTGTTTTGACCCCAAATTCTACTTATTAATCCCTCCTTATACCTTAAAACTTATCTATACATATTTAAACCTTCTTATAATACTATAACACTTCACCATATCTCATAATTTACCATAATTCTTGAATCAAAGAATTTCATCAAATTTTCCATGTGTTCTAAATTCAATTCTATCACCTCTAACTTCTTAATTAACCCTTTAACAAGTCAAATCCATCTTTAGAACTTCAAAAATCTTTCTATAACAAAAGTTCATTTCTACACCCTTCATATAATTTCCTTTTTAATTCTCTATTCTTTATGTTTAAAGCTTATATAAGCTTTCCTTAAGCTTATATAATACTCAAAGAATCAAAATCAACTTATAAATCCAAGAATTAAACAGCTGAAATTAAACTCGCCTTTAACTGAGGCATACGGGGAGAAGAAGAAGCTGAAGAAGAAGACTTTGGATAGATTTCCTCATTTCCTATGTTTTTATATTCCTTAAAAAGAGAGAGTAAAAATCTTCTCTTAGAAAAGACCATAATACCTTTGTTACTTTCCAGTTTTACTATTAAATCCATGAACTTTTAACTTATTTCGAAATCAAGTACATAGTTTTCAAAATTTATAATTTAGTAACTGACCTTGAATTTCGGGATGTTACAAATCTCCCCTCTTTTAAAGAAAATTTCGTCCTCGAATTTTCACTGAACATATCAATAAGAACATATCTTCTAATGTTCTCATGCTACATCCTTTACTTAATCTTTCATTCCTTTATTTCTTCAACTATCTCTTTTTTTTTCCTTTATACATTTATCTACTGTCACTTATCATATACACAGTAACCCATAACCTCAATTCATTTCTATCTTTTCTCTCCTTCGATTCTACATTTTTCCTTTGACCTTTCTAAAATCCATATAATGTCACTCATCACATAGACAGTAACATCCATTTCCATCACTCAACATCATAAATCCATCTCTAACTACCTTATAAGAATAACCAAATTCGTTTTACATCATCATTTAACCAAAAACATGACATTAAATCTTCTTTAAATATGATTAAACATACACTTTAAAGAATCTTTTCATATTACCTTGCACACTTTTCTTACTTCTATATCAAAATTATCATCTACACTTTCATATAACCTTTATCGTATCTGATCCTTTAACTCAATCCCTTTCATTTCTTTATTTATTCCTTATACACAAATCATATCTTTCCTTTCATGTTCACATACTCTTGTCCTATCACCTATACTCATCTCTGTGTAACAATCTTCATTGCATCCTCATAACTTTGATATCCCCATTTACTTATACGGAACTTTATTCTTTATCCTCTCTTGTACTTGTATTTTCTTCTTTAAAGCCACTTTTAAAACATACCAATGCTTATCTCTTTGCCTATATCATATTTGTATGATTAAAATACATAACCACATCCAGATTCATATCATACTTGATTGACTTCACTTTATTTTTTCTTCCAATCTTATAACTCTATCACCTTTACTCTGACAGCTAGTCAATACCAACTTTTCAATCTAAGGCACAAGCCCTAATCGACCAATCATATACATTCTTTCCAATCGAAATTATCTCAAAATTAGTTTACTTAACTTATCAAATTCACCTTTATTCTCATACATCCTGCAATTTCCCTTGTTCAAACTTAACATTCTGACTTCCTTTATCTTATAAACTGACCACTGATGTATTCGTTCTTAAACTCTTCTTATCAATCTTTAGCTTTACTCAAATATACAAATCCTCACTTCTTTCACTATATCACATTACTAGGATCCAAATATACAATTGTATCCAGATCCATTTCATATTTGGTTATCATATCCTGACAATATCTTATAATCTTATAATTCTGGTACATTTTTTATCACGTACTCTGGTAAGACAATGCTAACTCTTTCCGTCTTAACTGCAAACCCTTATCATATTCACACTCTTTCTTATACATAATATTATTCCTTTGTTTCAAATTCATAAACTCTATCTCCATATATCTTATACACTTGTCACTGATACATTTATTCTTGAGTTCTTCTATAAGTACTCACCACGTCATTTGTTCTTTTTAACGTTCTTATGGTGACACTTATTCACCATATTCTATCTTATCCATGTACTAACAAAACTAATCCATATCGTTTTTCCAATTCAAAATAATGAAGATCTTCTATCACTATTCTAATATGATTTCAATCTTATTAAATCAACCTTTAATCTTATAGACACTTTCTGAGGTTTCTACTCTTCATCCTGCCTGGCCAGGGCATGTGCATTTCTATCACCATCAGATTTGTCAGCTATCGATTCACTTCGACAATTTCTATAATCAATTTATACTATATCATACAAATCTTATTCTATTAGCAAGACATGATACTCCTTACACTATCAGATCAAAAATTTTCACTTTGAGTTGGCATGTAAACATTTTTTAAACCTCATTTAACTTCGGTTTAAGCCTATAATCGACTAAACCTTAGCTCTGATACCATTAAATGTAACACCCCCAACCCGTATCCGACACGGATCCAAGTCCGAGGTGTCACATTGACTTTTCAAGACTATGTTCTTTACAAATCCACTAAAATCTTAATTTCATCATTTAAGGAAATTAGTACTTTATATTAATAATTACAATTAAATTGTTTCTTTAAAATGATCAGAGCATATTTAATTTAAAATCTTGTAACTACATGTCAACTAGCTCCATAAACAAAATATATATGTCCAATATGTTTCTGATCTGATCCTCGTAAGGAAAATACTGACATGTCTTGCTCCTCGCTACTTCCATTCTCGCTTCTCATACCTACGTGTGAAACATTCACACGCTAAGTCTATGACTTAGTGAGGCATTAACATTTAAATATGAAATCTCAACTCTAATTACTACTATGCACACTTCATAGAATTATAGTAATTTAATTAAACTCATAATACCTGCAAAACATAAATACATACATATACATATCATGCCAAATTATATATTCTTTAATGTACTAGTTATACATAGACACGCATATCATCATTTACATTCATTACCTTTTTATATGTTATCATCGTTTCTCCCTTTTTATATTATCATGTTCTTCTTATCTTTAATACATATACACATCATATAATATCACATCACCAAACAAACATGTAACATCACATAGAATTTTTGCATATTATATTTTTAATGGCCCATGTACACATGTGAGAACTATAGATATGTGAGTCTATAGAGGTTGTGCACTAATGCTGTTACCACAACTCGTATAAATGCACCGGAGTGCCATGTAGAATTGCACCGAAGTGCCGCGTAGAAATGCACCGTAGTGCCATATAAGATGTCCTTAAGGACCACGTAAAAAATTCCTTAAGAATCATATACATATGCCAAGGACCAAATATGTGTCTCAAAAGACCTCATACATGTTCCAAAGAATACATATATGTCCCGAAGGACTGCGTAAACCCTTAAATCTTGGCATGCCAACTATACCCCTAGCTCTCATGACACATATCATGGGCATTATCTTTTATATCATTTTTTTCCATATTCATGTAAACAGATCACATATTCATATAAACTCATAGCTTCATTTACATATACATGTAATCACGTAGTTCATGTAAATTCTCATATCATTTCGTATTCATATATCTCATAGCATATGACATTTCTCATGTGTTCTTATAAACA